AGTTTTATGAATGAATATTGTTTCATTCATAAAACTTTACTTATGAAGTTACAATAATAAAATGAACAATTAAACCATTTCATTCATCAGTTCTACACCCTCCCAGCTTGGGACTTCAGTGCCCTGCCTGGTTTGTGCCAGGCCCGCTAGCCTGCTGCAAACCCAGACCCAGGTCTGAACCACGTACCCTAACAGCTGTAGGCTTAAACTGAAAGCCACTTAAGAAGTGTTCTTAACACTCAGATGCCCAACTCCCAACAAGGTCCAAACACCAAATAAATCAGTTTTACCCTGTATAAAGTTTATACAGTGTAGAGATGGTTAGCCGGGGTTTCATCCCTCTCCGGGGCGGCGGGGAACCACACTGCCTCACTACGTACTGTTAATGTCTTGCCGGAATTAGTCCGGCTGCAGGAGTCTCCCTCGGCGGCCCTTATGGAAGCAAAAATAAGCACAGTAAACCCGGGCCCTAGGTCAGGGCAGGCAACAATAAGGCAGGTGCTCAGGCCCTCAGGCAGGGGTGGAGCAGTAGTAGTCAAACAGTAGCAGTGAGCCCAGGCCTCCAAAGGACCTGGGAGAGGGGGAGACTGCCACCCATGAGTTGGGTGGCAGGGGGGGATGCAGGCCCTCCCACTCCACTGCATCACAGCCCAGGGCCCTAGCAGTGGCAGATGACCCTCTGCTGTGTCAGTGGGGATCCTGGCCGCAACACACTGACATGGGCTGTGATAGTGCTGCAGCCAGATTAGGGTTGGCTGCCGCCAGGCTACTTCCAGACTCCCCCTCTTGTGGTACTTAGGTCACGGTGGTGTCCTCTTGGGGGGGTCCAGCACTGAGTTCCTCGGGGTAGCTGGCGTGGGGCAGGCCCAGCAACTCCTCCGGGTAGTGGGAGCAGGGCAGGTCAGGCCAGTCCTTGGGTGCACCGTGGGCCACAGGGGGCTTCCCAGTTGCGGGCGAGGCCAGAGGCATCTGGCCTCCCCGGCAGCTGTTTTTCAAGTGAGTTCTGAGGTTGAGCCTTTATACTTCCGGGGCACTGCCTGACCCTCTGAGGGGCGGGCTCAGAGCTCCCTAGCTCCACCCACTCAGGTGTACAGAAGGACTTGTCCCTCTCTGGGGCGGCAGGGAACCACACTGCCTCACTACAAGGGTAAACTCATAAATTGTTTGCCTTCTATAACACTGATAGAGAGAGAGATGCACAGCTGTTTGCCCCCCCCAGGTATTAATACTTACTGAGTTAATTAATATGTAAAAAGTGATTTTTATTACATACAAAAAGTTAGGATTTAAGTGGTTCCAAGTAGTGATAGACAGAACAAAGTGAATTACCAAGCAAAATAAAATAGAACACGCAAGTCTGTCTAATACAGTAAGAAAACTGAATACAGATAAAAACCTCACCCTCAGAGGAATTCCAGTAAGCTTCCTTTTACAGGCTAGTCTCCTTCTAGTCTGGGTCCAGCAATCACTCTCACCCCCTGTAGTTATTGTCCTTTGTTCCAGTTTCTTTCAGGTATCCTTGGGGGTGGAGAGGCTATCTCTTTAGCCAGCTGAAGACAAAATGGAGGGGTCTCCCATGGGCTTAAATAGACTTTCTCTTGTGGGTGGAGAGCCCCTCCTCTCTCCTATGCCAAGTCCAGCTCCAAGATGGAGTTTTGGAGTCACATGTCCATGCATGACTCAGTTTTTACAGGCAGCAGTCATTGTTTACATGCTACCCTGAACATCCTCAGGTAGACTTCTTATGTGGATTGGAGCCTTCCAAGATTCATTGTTCTTTAAGTGTTTCTTGATTGGGCACTTAATTTGCACACTCCTTTCTTAAGAAGCTGACCAAATGCTTTACTAGGGCTACTTAGAAATCAAGCAAGTACACAGCCAATATCCATAACTTTGAATACAACAATGACACATGCATACAAATAGGATGAATATATCATGAAACATATTCCAGTTATGAATGTACATAAGCATATTTCCATGAAGCCTTATGGGGTGCAACATCACACACAATGTCACAGTGGGGCAGCTTCCTTACCAGGCACATTGCCACTCCCAACAGATACTCCTGCTCTTCTCACTACACTGAGCTCCTTCCAGCAAATCACAGTTACTCTTTTCAGGTTCACTTTTACAAGCTGTACTAGCCAACAATCCATCACCCATCAAAAATCTACCCTTTCCTTCCTCAATTAGGGCTTTAACCTGACCATCCACTTTAATCTGCTCCAGAGAAACATTTTCCTGACCAATGAGTTCTTTCTGTCCTTGATGTAAGTCAAGACTTACTTCTGAGACATCAGACAGACATTCAGAAATTTCATTCACAGACAAATAGCCTTTTTGGACAGACAAACAGCTATTTCCCACCAGGTTAGAGTCCCCCTCCTCCTGGTCATAGCATAATGGGTTAAATACAGAAAACTGCTCAGAGTAATACAACATCCCAACATTGTTATAAACAGGACTTTCAAGAGGATACAGTTTCTGCTGTTCTTCCATTGCTTTTTTTGACTTGGAGCTTAAGTCTGGCAGTTTCTTGTTGCATCTGGCGAACCCTCTCCTCAGCAGCCATCAGTTCCATACACCCCCTGTAAGCTTCTTTTTCCAACTGGGCCAAGGCTTGCTTCTCTCATTTGAATTTCTGCCAGTTTTTGATTATGTTCAAATTGCAGGCTGTCTCTCAGGGCTTGCAATTTCATTGCTTCTGCTGATGCTTTTTGGCTAATGGTCACTGATCTTTAACCCAACAAAACTCTCATTCCCAAAATTCAAAATTTGGATAGCATGGGGTTGTGATCCAAAGCTTAATTGACTTGGTTCTGTGGATCCTAGCATGACTATGCCCCTGTAATGATGTATCCTTTGGCAGTTCAGGTCAATAATGTCAGTCACTCAGCTAACCCACCTGCTGGTCAGAGCTTCAGGGCCACTTAAAGGCAGAAACCTGAGCAAAGCATCTCACCTGCCAATTTTCTAAACTACTTCTCTCTCCTGCCTAATACCAGTGTGATGGGCACCCTGCTGAACAGATGAGTGTGTACAGGGATGGATGCATGGAAACAGAGAGTGGGGACAGGCGGGATGGAATCATGGACCTGCTTAAGGGGTGGATGGAAGCAGAAACAGACGGGCAGATGGAGCAAACTGCTTAAGAGATCATTGAAACAGAAATGTAGGGCTGGAAAGGACCTTGAGAATTCATCAAGTCCAGCCCCCTGTGTTGGGCGGGACCAAGTAAATCTAGACCATCCCTGACAGGGGGTTTGTCACACTAGTTCTTGAAAACCTCCAGTGATGGAGATTCCACAGCCTTCTTTGGTGATCTGTTCCAGAGTTGAACTACCTTTATAGTTGGAAAGTGTTTTTTGGTTTTTTTGTTTTTTTTTTTTTTCCCCTTAATATCTAACATAAATCTCCCCTGCTACAGATTAAGCCCATTAGTTCTTGTCCTACCTTCAGTAGACATGGAGAACAATTGATCCCCATCCTCTTTATAACAGCCCTTAACAGATTTGAAAACTGTTGTCAGGTATCTCCCCCTCTTCTCCCCCCCCCCCCCTTCTTTCCTCAACACTAAACATGTCCAGTTTTTTTAATCTTTCCTGATCAGGTTTTCTAAACCTTTTATCATTTTTGTTGCTCTCCCTGGCATCTCTCCAATTTGTCCACATCTTTTTCCAAAGCATGGCACCCAGAACTGGATACAGCACTCCAGCAGAGGCCTCAGGAGTGTCCTACAGCAGAGTAGAGGGGACAGTTACCTCCTGTGTCCTACATACAACATTCCTCTTAATAAGCCCCAGAATATTAGCCTT